TATAGTACTTCCAGCATACGACTATCGTACTCGATGTCGGCGGTTGGCTTCTTGTAAATGACCTAGACTAGACACCTCGAAGTACTTGACAATCTAACAGAGCACCATATGGATTCCTCAGGATTGTTAAACTCGAGGTTGTGAACTTGGTGCACCTCCAAGCAAGAGCTTATGTATATGGCTACTTCACCCCCAATTCCTGTTTTCCTATCGTTGAGGAACAAAGTCATCCCAGGTAATGCTATCTCTTGGTCCGAGAACTGAGAAGATATCCAGGTTTCAGATATTCCTATCAGACGGGCCTTATTAGCGTTACTAAGTTCACGTAATTCATCCAGTTTGTTTGGTAGACTCGCGGCGTTCATATATAAGCAGTTTATGCTTTCAATTTGGAAGGCGTGAGCTTCGTTCTGTTTTTCTGTATGAGCCTTATGTGAATGGACAGGTAGCCCATCTATATGAGGTTTCCCGAGGTGGTAGGCCCTGTCCTTTACACGTTTTTTTATCATTTAGACAGTCCACAAGTGGAATGGTCAACTCCAACTTGCCTTTGTGCTTGGTCCTAGCCTCATATGGCCTATCCGGGTGCATGTGGATTCCAGGTGGCAATCGACGTCTGTTGGCACGAAATGCTTCCAGAACTGCAGCTGCCATGTAGTACGTATGCGTTCCGTACCAAGCAGCCGAGTAAGTGAGGAGAATAATGCGGACTCAAATTGTTGTCCTCGGTCAGTCGTGACAGTCGAGGGACAACCATATAGAGCTATCCATCGTTCTACGAAGCGGTGAGCAACTGATGGGTATAGCTTCGGGTCATCTGGTGAAACGGTCGATGCACGTGAGTATGTGATCATACCCATGCGATTGTGGCAGTGGTCCTACAATGTCTATATGAACTTGATCGAAGCGAGCATTAGGCGCAGCGAACGTGCCGATGGGGGCAGCTACGTGCCTGTGCACTTTTGATCGTTGACATTGTAGGCATTGCTTTACCCACATACGGACGTCTATATTCATGGACGGACAGACGTATCGTGCAGTGATGAGACGTAATGTAGCTGTGATTCCTGGATGCGACAATCCATGCAGGGCATCGAGGACGAGACGAAGGTAAGTGGGGGGTACGATGGGTCGGTGAAGACCGGTAGAAGTATCGCATAGGATGGTGCCAGAAGTCGTAGTTAGAGGTACTTCCTGATACTGAAGGGACGTAGAGTGTGGTGCTTTTGTACGACTGGGATCGCTTACCTGGGCAGCGGCCACAGCAGGAAGATCGAGCACCGGCAGAGTAACTGCATTCGTTTGGATTCGTGATAGAGCATCGGCAACTCAGTTCGAGTTGCCTTTGATGTGACGGTCTGTCGTGAACTGGGAGATATAGTCCAAATGTCTGCACTCTCGTGGTGAATAGCGGTCAGACTTGGTATGCAAAGCATATGTTAAGGGCTTATGGTCGGTGAATGAGATGAATTGACGTCCTTCTACTGCGTGCCGGAAATGTTTGACGGCGCAGTAGGCTGCTAGCAGCTCGCGACCAAAAGCGCTATATCTCGTCTCCGTGGGAGTAAGGCGTCGTGAGAAAAAACTCGAGGGGTTGCCAACTACCGGAGATGTTTTGTTGCATGACTGCTCCTATAGCAACATCGGATGCATCAACCGCTATACTAAGCGTGGCTGATGGATCAGGATGGGTGAGAAGAGTGGCTTGCGCAAGGGCCGTTTTGATCTCTGTGAATGCAGTACGTGCAGAATCGTTCATTTTTAGTCTGCGTGGGTTGCCGCGAAGTAAGTCGATTAGTGGTCGTAACCGTTCTGCTGCATGTGGGATGAAACGACAGTAGAAGTTAACCAAACCGAGAAAAGCCTTCAGTACCTTGAATGAGGACGGCACGTTGTACTACTTTATTGCCTGAACTTTGTCCTCGCAAGGTAGAATACCCTCTTGCTTGATAACATGACCCAGAAATATTATTTCTCGTTTACCCGACTCGCACTTGTCTGGGTTAACTACTATCCCATTATCCGAAAGGCTTTGGAGTAATAGCGTAAGATGTTGATAATGTTCATCTTCGTTTGATGATGCGATTAGCGGGTCATCAATACAGACGTGAACAAAATCGAGGTCTCGTACAATGCTATCGATAAACCTTTGAAAAGTTTGATCAGCATTCCGTAATCCAAATGGCATTCGTAGGAACTCAAACAAGCCGAAAGGAGTCGTGATAGCAGTTCTTTCGATATTTCCAAGAGCGACTGGGATCTGATGGTATGCACGTACCAGACCGATCTTAGAAAAGGTAGCCGTGCCCCTGAGCGATGCCGCGATGTCGTGTATGTGGGGGATGGGGTAGTTATCAAAGCGCGTAACTATGTTTAGAGCTCGGTAGTCGCCGCATGGTCTCCAACTAACCCCTCCTTTTTAGCGCACCATGTGAAGAGGAGAGGCTCATGGACTGTGAGAAGGGCGATTAATACCAGTAGCTAGTAAATGGTCAAACTCACGTTTAGCGAAAGCTAATTTGTCCAGTGCCAGCCGGCGAGGTCATGCCGTGACTGGTGGTCCGCGGGTGACTATGTGGTGTACCACACGATTGGTCACCGATAGAATCTCCTCGAGTGGTTTAGTGAGTACGGGGAATTTTCCGAATAAAGCGTGGAATTTATCGTCACGCGAGTAAGAAGTGCCGAGGATTCGGTACGCGTTCATGGGAGTCTATTATATTAATACTATTCTTATCGTTATCCGTCATGTCGAGTATATTAAATATTATAAAAATACTATAAAAATATACGACAGACGTGGATAGATAAACTATAGACTCACCGAATTGGCTTCTTTGCAAGATTTGACGAGAGGTTGGGGCGTGTTCCAAAATACGGGCTCACCAGTTGTAGCGTGGCGTCGAATCGTGATTGACTACGAACACCGCTACCAAAAAACACGTGCCAAAATATCCATAAAATCCCCCGGAAGCCAAATATCAGAAGGCAGTTAATGGACCAAGTCGAGATATATTTGCTGGCGATCTCGTGGTATCGAAAGGTTACCGAGATCGTGTCAGGAATGGTACAGGTGGAAGCAGGAGAAAAGAGTACTTGCGTACAGCACCAAAATCCGCGGAACAATGATGGAAGGTAATGTAAGCACAAAATGGCTATAATTAGCACAGTTAAACAAAAGCACATTGAAACAAGCACTGGTACAGTTGGTTATAATAATAATTGTTTTTATTAAACCAGTCGTGTTCTCGTGATAAAAGTGAGTCACTACACGGCTGTCGAGTACCAGTGAATGTCTTCTACTTTTAACAGTGATTTTTCACAACCACAATGAAGAACAGAGTAAACTTCTGGACAGTAGTATCGTCCTTTGGTTGCCAGACAGACATCTCGCCGACACCACTAGTAATGTGAACTGGAAAAGCTAGTTCAGGCTTATAATCCCATGTCAAGATTTCTTCAGACATCAACGCATCAAGTATGACGTGGATTTCGAGATATGTGATGTAGTTCACTCGCCTATCTGCTTCATTTGCTGTTATTTTTCGGACGTTGATGTGGACCAGCTCTCAAGAAATACTTTACATATGCAAAGGGAAGCACGTTCCAGACATGGATTCATTGTTGCTCAGGATGTTCGGAAGACTCCGAATTCTCTCAGAGTCTCCGTCAAACAGGACTATATCATCAACGTATTTTAAGTCAACAGTGGATCTTCTGGTACAACATCAAGTCCAGGTAAGTCCGGTGATGGAATCGTTATCCTTAGAACAATGTCTATGGCAAAGTTGAACGAAAATACTGAAAAGGGAGAGCCTCGATAAGCACCAGTTGGTACTATCACTCCTGATGACAATTCATCATGAACTATTAATTGAACAGTAGTATTCGAGTACAGAACCAGCACAAAGTTGATTCGGTTCCTCGGTACGTCTTTCAATGACAAACACAACCGTAAAACTTATAGATGAATAGGGTGAAATACTATCACAGTCGAGTGTCGATAGGGAGTTTTATTTTCTAGGCCGTAATGAAAGATGGATGTTTGGTTAGTGAGCATCTCGTGTTCTTCATACAAGCTATCATTTACATAATGGCGACTGAGTATTTAGAGTATTTCACAGGATTGGGTGTTTGTGTTGACTGTCGGAATTCCCATATCTGTCCAAGGCATTCTCCCATATTTGCCAACAAACCAGCATGTAAATACATAAGAGTAGGCGCAAATGTCCTCCACTGAATACAAAAAAGCCATTAATCATGTTCTAAACAATTATCAGTAATTATACACGACGCAGAAAAGCTGCATCGTTTTCACTGGGTCAGCTGACTGGCATAAGAAGGTTATGAACAACCTAATCAACGAGTTTAAATCTCCAATTATGACAAACTAAGTATAGGTTCAAGTTAAATATAATTTCACAGGAACAAATTGCTAAGTAACGTAAGAAGAGAAAACAACGTTGTATAGCACTTCAATCTTTGATTAGTCAAAATCAAATCAAGATGTAAGAAAGCTATTTTTTACTTAAAACATTACATTACATTGGCTTTAATATGAATTATGGTTCTTATAAGCTTATTTACAAGAGGCTTTGAATATTTTATTCATGAATTATATCACTGAAAGTTTTATTTATGTAAACTATTTACAATCGAATAAACCTTTAATTATAATTTTTATTGAAATTACTACAATTCAATGTCTTATGATAGAATCAATATCATTGTCTACATAGAAAAGTAACAAAAATTCTGACTATTTGACAAGTAATTCAATATATTTACGTAATCAATCATATTCATGGCATCAGACATATTGTCATTTCTAGAAAGATAAAACTAAAGAAATAATTTTATTACAACTTCAATAGATGATTCAGTATAATGAAATGTTCTTTGAAATAATACTTCACGTAATATTCTAGTATATGCGTTTTAAATTAAATAATTACAATTAGTGAATTTTATTGATAATTAACATATAAGATAAGAAATTATTAAAACATATCTCCAATATAATTGACAATATCATCTGATTTTGTCACTTCTCCTGCTTCACCTTCTTTTACATTATGAAGATTGTTTAATTCAGCAGCTTTTAATTTGGAATTTTGTTTCTTCATCACGAATGGTAATAATCTATTTATAAAAGAATGTAACAAAGGTATTGGTATATTCGACAGAAATGGATGATAGTTGGCCAATGTAACTAGTTAACTGAAGTTGAAAGTGAGAACTAATGAATACCAACTGTATAATCTAAAAGTAACTCACTTGTTGCTAGTGTTTGAGTCAGTGGTTCCAGTTCCTGGAGGGTTGATCGATGCACTCGGTTGAATGGTTCCAAACTAGCATAAATGTTCATTGATCACTGGTTACCGATAGGTGTCTTACTAATTTCATTCTATTATGTGAACCATCTTCAAAGATTATATTTTGCTAACTACTAATGAACACAATCCAATTAAGTGAAGAGCAACCTAAGTGGTTGATAAACGTAGTGTTTGATGTAGGTCTATGAGTGATAGCAGATGACTTGGTGGGTCACATGCAAATATATACGTCATTTAGTCTTAAAGTGTACATCGTCTAACTATATGTGCCAGGTTAATTTATGTTTATTGTTGGACGTTTTCTTTTTAGACTAGCTTAGCTACTACCAGTCGTGGTTTTGTCAAGTCTGAGTAGATTGTCAATGTTACTACAACTTTACACAAATTATTTAATAATTACGTAGTACAAAGTTCCTTCCATTAAAAACTTTATGTGACATTTAAGTATCTGTCGATAAAGATGGAAACTTCATACAACCAGATCCCTTGGTCAATTTAAACATAGTAAGAACAACAAAGTTTACAGAATAAAATGAGTTCATTCTATTCCACAGTTTTTCATCAGTCGCATACAACCTCAAATTACAATCACGAATATAAATTCTGTAAACATTGTTGTCCTTGCTCTGTTTCAAGATTGAACCATTTCCAAAAATCTTACATTATTTTATTAACTGCTAGGACTACTGAAAAATGTGGTTGTTTTATCTGGTTGTTGGGCTAGTTAACGTGAATTATTTTAATCAGTCTTGGGTTCACAATGTGTATGGAGTTTCTAGTATTCTCTTCTTATGCTTTTCCAACATCTTAATTCTTTGGAAGCATTTATGTCAGATGGTTTACCGATGAATAGTTCCATCTAGAGATTATTTTATATCGGCTACTGAAAACAAGCCACCACACGTTAGTCATTTCTCATCTCATATGATAAATTGCGTATCATCTAGCCATTGAGTTTAAATCTAGTTGTCTCTATTTTCAAGTTTTAAATGATAGTACGAAAACTGATTTTCCCAAATGAATGTATGTGCATTAATAAACGGTTTATTTTGTATTCAACGATAACCATACCCTATACGTTCTACACACCAGACGTTTATACTTTGGGAATATTTTAATCTCGTTCGTTTATATTATCATTGGCAAAAATTGTTTACTCATCAACTGTGTGTGTTTCTCACACCGATTTTTATTTTATACAGGGAAATTCACATTAATTTTAAGCTACTTACAAGTCAATAATGAGTGTTATTGCCATTATTATGACAACAACGATGAATACTGTTCCTGGAAATGTCAGTACTGTTCCAGCATATATTGCAGGAAGTGCTGTTAAACTGATGAGTAAACCGATTCGAGAGACAAATGCGGCAATCGATTGCATAATGCCTGAAATGTAAAATAAGCGATTATATTTTATTATATAATAAATTATATTCAACAGCTTAATGAAAGAATATCTGTGCACCTAGTTATCTTTCATAACTTCTGTATATAATGAACAATTGTTTATGAGTATCTGTCATATTCTGTCTTCGTATTTTGAGTTTGGAATCAATGATCAAATTTGGTTCATATTGCATAAGTAAAAATTTACTGTGTGGAAGAACTTCTGATGTTTAATTTCACTTCACTTAAATCAATCCCAATTATTAACTTCCTACTTGAACTATGTAAATAAATTAAAACAATCGAACTAAATTATTTACCTTGTATACTTGAATGGACACTAATGGAAAGCATTGTTCGAATTATTGGAACAAGGAAGCTTTTCATCAATCTGGGAATGGAAGCTAAAATTTGAAAAATATTGATCTTTAATAATAGTTTATACATTATAAGGAGTATATTTTACGTGAAAAACTGACGTCCATCAGACTTGAATCTGGACATTAAAATAATAGTATGATAATCCAGGGGTCTTGAGGTTAAACACTTGACCATTCACATGAAGGACTTTACATATCTATTTAGAAGTGATGCGAATATACATAGTTGAGGTTCCCCATAATTGGACGAAGCAAACCTCTTGTGATGATTATCGGTTTCAACAGTTGTTTAACCAAGATAAATCTCTGCGATTAACAGAAATATTCAACTCGCATTTATTGGCAATGTTCTCAGACCTATTTTTTAATGCCTACTAACAATATATGATAAATATTTATTTCGACTGACAGTGTGAATAGTGTTAACAACAGAGTCATGTAAAAGACCGATCGATGAGTCGATTCGACCCACAGTTATCCGATCTGTGTCAGCAAATCAGTAGAATTGGCAATCAAGAGTTTTGTGTTGGTTGAGTATAGAGCATGAAACAGTAACGTTTTGGGTGTTGTAATGAACTGAATTTCGATTTGACTACTGTGTGAGAGTTCCTAAATCTTACCTGATCAAACTAGAGAGACGACAATACTGCTCATGAAACTGGATTGCCAAAGATCTGAAATAAATATTGACAACTCATTTGTACTTATTCATTGTCAGATTGGTTCGAAGAAGAGCATATAACAGTTTTTGCTTGAGCAATCGAAGTTGAACATAAAGATAATTAAAGTTTGATCAAGATGATCAGTGATATTCTGATCTCCGAAAAGTTTGAAATCTCTACATCTCGTGCAGACTGTCTTCGTGAGTACACTATGGGTAATTCTCGAAAACGTTGGATGGTTGAGTGTTTTCAGTGATTTTGTGCCTTGTTATAACCATTGTGAGAAACTGTTATGACAGTCAACTTATTTTTGAGAACCATCTTAGCAAAAATGACATATTTCTAATTTAAATAAAGGATCCAAACATCTTGGAGCAATTCACCTGAATTTGTGTATGCTTATTATATAGGCTAAATCTGGAAATCGTTATGATAATTATTTTGTCTACATTTATATTGGTGTGACGTTCATTAATCAGAGGAGAGCATGATTTAGACTAGAAATGACGGTGGATGATTCTGTTACATTGTAATGTTTTATATAATTTCTGATATTTCTTCTAATGCTACCTAGACAAACAACAGACCAATTAACAACTATTATCAGTCACCTGAAACCGATGTGTAGTTTTATGGTTTATTCGGAATTGTATGTGCATGCTGATGAGACCATACTTGAAATTTAATATGATTCAAGGGTGATATGGTCACTTATGAACTCCATTGTTTATAATGAGAGTGATAAACGAAATATGGATTTTGTTAACTTGGTAAATAATATTTCGACTAACCAAATTTATATTAATCAGCCGAATTTATAGTGAAGACGGATATATATTATCATGTATTGGTATGAACAGATAAACTGTGAGAGAAATGAATAGATGAAGAATGGGTTTCGAGTATTTTCTAACTCCTTAAATAACGTAATCTATCAAGTTTTTACAAAGTTGTGAATTTATCATGATTAATGGACGAAGTCTCGTACCAGTCTTTCAAGTCGACTTATTAGATGGTTGTAAATTCGTCTTAGTATTTATCTTTTTTCAAGCATATGAACGACCTGTACAAGGAATTTGTGAAGAAGTATTGCACTCTCAGTCTCACGTTTAAATCCATAAATAGCACATCAGTTTAATGTTCCCCAAACACAACTGACAGAATTAGTTTGTGACTGAGTTTGGAATGTAAGAACAGTAGATACATAAATTAATATGACTTAGTTTTAAATATATCCAATTCATTGGTAAAACAAAAACAGCTCTCAGCATTTAAGTCATGTGTTTAATTGAGTTCGAGTGATTGATATATATATTTATTGATGATAAAATTCAAAGCATGAAACATTTACCGATATAAATTAAAATATTCGCAGTTGGTAGTTGAAATCGATAAGCTACTCCGACTACTGAACGATTCACTATTAACATTATAACTGATGCAGCAAAAACTGTAATAAGTAAATGCATTTGACGTGTATAATGATTTCGATCACTGTTGTTTGTGGTATTTTGTTCTGTGAGAGCTTTGGCCTTTCGCTTTTCGTCAAATTTGATAATTAGGATAGTACAGATAATTGAGATGAAAGCTGATATCACATCAGTTACGCCACTACAGAGTATTCAAGAAATGAAAAAGTGGAGATGTGAAGATGAAATTATTATTTCGAGGTAAGTCTGATGCTTCAGCTACTCACTCACTTATAATGTGATGTTTCTGTTTATGACACTGAATGATGAGTGTTTCAATCCAATGGAAACCATCATTTCGCTGAAGAATCCAGGTACGCCTAACATATAAATATCTTGTCTATCGGTGCTTTTGATACATGTGTGATTGCACCAGAGCATATGACAGTGACATATGGATTGGTGAGAGCCTGAATGAAGTTTAGTTCAACTGGAAATTAGTACAATGATCAATCATACTATTTCAGAGTATAAGCTAAAGCTAGAGAGTGGTTGTCTAGTAATTGAATAGTTTGACATTCAACTAGTCGGTAAGAGGATGGAATTCGATTACACATAATCACGTCTGGAGGAGCGTATAGAACGAGCTGTTCTTATATACCAACTATGACCTAATGCAAGGAATATAATCGTGCACATGTTGATGAGTTGAAACGTTGTTCAATGGACGTATTATTAATTAGAAAGGAAGAGATAAACATTTCAGAGATGTTTTTCATAATTCGTACCATACCAAACAAAATTTTTCGAAATTAACATTGTGATGCTTTAGGAATGTGAGGAAAGGGGCATCAGAACAGTATGAATTGTTGAATCATCGAAGCACGTTATATCAGTTAACTGGAAATTCGTGCACTAAATCCAGGGTTAGAGAATAAGGGTTATCTAATTTGCTTTAATGTTTGATTAATTCTAATCATGTGAGATGCAGATGACTTCATTTTTATGTGATTAACTAAACATTGAAATCAGTGAATCCAAACAAAACACCTTACATTTGTTCTGGAATCCATTTATTACTCCCTTGAAATGTGAATTGTCAAGTTTAAATAGATGCATACTATTTATGCAAGTGCTCTTGTGTTAAGCTACACACATGTTTCGTTGGAAGTTGTGTAATTTGAAGCGATTTCGAATAAGGTGGCAAAGCTAAACAAACAGTGTCAGATACTTAATAAGTTCCGTTACTCTCGTCAAGCCTAAATCAATTTGGTGTGCATGAGAGAATAAAACACCTAGTTTATTCTCACAACAATGGAAATCTCATGTAATTTTTCTTTCTGTCTAGCTACTTGTTGCGAATTTGTGTATCATTTTAGTATATACAGGTTTGTTATAATAATGCTTAGTGAAACTAAATTGATTTGTAAGTTTGAGACAAATGCAAGTGCATCAATCGATATGACAGAATATATTGAGGTTATTGTCCACTGCTGAAAAGCAATTGACTGAGTAAATAATTTGCATATTTGACTGAGAAGTGTTTGCTTTAAGAGGAACTGTTGTAAAATTGCAGAAACCAAATATATCATCTGATTTGAATTCGAGTGAAATACTTACGAATATAGTCCAACGGTTTCTGGACTCCACAAGAATGGAGGTCCCATTAAATAAACAGCAACATACTGTAAGTCCGCTAAAGCTGACACTGAACCAAGTAGAACCATTGACAGAATCATAATCACCACAGGATCTAAATTTTTCAGACGCTGAAAAGTAAACAAATTATGGACTAGTTAAGACGGATTGTTCTCATGCACGTTTGACACGAAACCTTGACCAGTTATGAAATTTGTTGCGTAAATCTCTATCAGTCATGCAGAAAGACCTACACATTAATGATTACGCAGTGACATTTGTTTATTCTTCACCCAAGTTTATAAATGTAGAAAATCGCATGAGATCACGTTTGGATTAGTTAGTGATTTAGGTGAGTTTAATACATATTGCATATATGATATAGAATGAGTAGAAACGTTTTTGGATCTCATAAGTAATTGATTATTGATTGCATAATGTTCATACGCAGATAAGTGAGAAAGTCATTTTAAATTGATTTCTGATGGAAATGTCACTAGTTGTTTATGTTCAAAACAGACATGACTTTTCTTTTGAAATCTATTGACCTTTATCAAATGATCATGATGTAGATGGTAACTTATCTGGTTTCCGTTTACGTGCTTCGAATGATTTTGTTGATTCAGTAGTTTATTGATAAACAGATTAAGATGAAGGGTCACTAAAGTCCCGATTTATTATGCATGGTAATCATGGTATTCAGTTTTGCACGATATGACATGAGTGACACAGAAACATTTGAAAATAGTTTTAAGAAGTAATTACGATGGTTATTATGATTGCGATTTCTGATACAGTTGTTGTCATTCTACGGCTTACACCGTGAGATAATGTACTGATTCATCTATCCAGTCAGTTGTCTTGTAAATATGAAATGATCCTTCCTCGAATATATCACGAATCGATTAGTGACGTATGACAAATTATTTAACACTTGTCGCTTTTATCGAGTTTGGTTGCACTCATTTTCCATGGAAAGTTGACACCAACCGATAGAGGAAATGGAGGTAAATGAACAATGGAATGCTCTACCGTTCTAGTATGTGACTTCACAGAGGTGGATGCACGCAACCACACTGGAGGTGAAAACCTGTAACTTCAATTCTGGGTTTGTTTGCTATGTTTTCAATGCATTGAGTTTGGTTCGAGTAAGTCACATTTTCTACTGCATTCAGGTTGTGATATAACTCAAGTAGAGTCACTTGTTCCATTTAGTGAGTGATGGTGAGTATCGTTTGTTGGTTCGATTGAAATGAAGATGGAACTGTTGGTCATTATCGCATAGTTTGAAACTCTCCATTACTCTACATTTATCAGAACACGGTGTATTCAGTTGTAGACTTGAATTTATCTTGAACCATTGACGAGACTTCATTTTTATTGACATATCGCAAGCGCTATTCAATAAAATACCTAATGTGGTCACAAGTGTAGTAATATCCTAATGAAATACATTGTTGGAATGCTCATAATATTGTGTATGGATAGCTTGCTAACCCATATGATCAGTAATATATTACGTTACCATTCCTGAATGGCCATACATTTTATCTTTAGAACACCATAGAAATGTTATTGTAATGATACTCTAACAAAAGACAAGAAACATAGTAGCTGAGAAAATAAATGTCAATCGACTAACTTGAAATGCATCTGTCACTCTACTTGTTAACGTCCTTTCGAATTCCATTGGTATACTACGAGTATCTTCATTTGGATCATCATTGTTTACTTCATCAAAAGGCTCTTCGTCTCGTACAACAGTTGGTTTGCTTTTGTTTTTATTCGTTTCGGGTAAACAGAATATTAAAATTAAGCTTGGAACAAGTAAACCTAATGATGTGAACATGGCTACTTGAAATCCATAGTGATAGATTAATGCTCCTAATAAGGGAAATAAAAAACACTTTATTTCTAGCGACCTATGTTTAAAATTCAGAATTACTTATACATAAACTGTGTACTGTTTTTGATCTAATTTAGTTACTTTGAAAGTTAATCGATTTCTGTCGAATGAAACTGAACGCGCAATAATTGAATTTATGCATATTTAAATGAAAAATGATTTCCACTAGAGATAATATTAGTAATTTCGTTTATGAATCGTCTTCTTATATGAATCTAATTGAAAAGACTTTGGCGTGCTTTTACTAGGAAATTCTTTATTGTATGGGAATGAAATCAAATGAAATCCGTTCAGTTAGTGTTCAGAACAGAGGATGGATTACACCAGAAATAATGTCCGAGATATTGTCAGTGTCTACAAAGTATCTCATTGAAATGATGTTGAAAATCTATAATTCAGCTAAATGTTAATGTCTGTATTGCATTCACATATTCATAAAGTGTTGATAATTTTGTCTAGAATGATATTTAAATTTTCGTAATGAAATCATTGAGATCAGATGACATAATGCAGCCAAGATACTTAAACGTTTTGCTAAAATTTAATTTACCTTAATTGATATATAAGCTTTTTTTAAAATATCAGTATAAAATGTTTAAAACTTATTTCTCAATTAACCTCCAATCGGTGATCCTGCTGATACGCATAATGCAGCTATTCCATCAAAAATTGTAAATAATATCCACATTTGTTTATCAGAGGACTTAACATTCTTTTTATCTGTTTTTTCCATTGAATACTTCATGGATAGATGACAAACGTCTACTTGGATTGTGGCAACCTGAGCAAAGAGTGATAAGAGACCACCACCGAAAATTGCTTCCAAAAGTCCAGGGAGTAAAATCAGCCACATATTCAGCTTCAACAACACAATAAGACCTGAATCAATAAGTAATTGAAAACTTGAATTACTTCAATGTAATTGAATGTAGATTGAGGTTGTTTACAATACAATTGATTCGAAACAAGATTAATTTCAGTGTATTTTAAACTCTATAACGATGTTACATCAAATGTATAGTCTGAAGTGGATTTTATGTCATAGTTTTGTATTAGTGTGGTGTGTGCTATTGATGTCGACAGATACAAGTAGTATGCATCACAAACCGGAAGTGAAATGCCTGGTGGCAGAAGTTTAAGAAGACCGAAGAGAAGATAACTAGAACAGAGAGGAATTGGTGTGAAAACGAAGGGACAATCAATTCTGAGACAAGTGACATATTGTGCAAAAGAAGTACCGATTGTATGGTCCTAAGATTTTGCCAAGATATTCTGTTATGTTGCTCAGAGTTACGTTTGGTTTTCCTCATCTGTGTTCTTGTTCACAACATTAGTTTCTCGCTTACATAATACAGAAATCCAAGGGTCACTATACGTTTCATGATAAACACTGTGAATTGGTAAAAAAGTATTGCGTTGCATTCAACTCAGTCAGTCAGCTACAACGTAGGACCAGGCACATATATGCATTCAACTGATCGCAATGATAGTGACAAGTATTTCATATGACAATGAAAAAGTATTATCATACAAATATGTTGATGAAGTATTCTGATGAGTTGCTTGTTCTCCTCCACGAGGGGTAACAAGCGTATGTTGACAAAATGAATGCAACTATTGTTTGTAAAATGGAATATATCAACCTTATTTCAAGATTTCCAAGTACCTAAAAATAGAATTAAATTAGAAACAACATTGTTATTGGGAAAAAGAAGAATTAACATAATTCGTTTGATGAATTTAAGGTGTATGTTTGAAAGGGGAGAGTACATTGTGATTGCATAAACATAACACAATGTAATATTGAACACTCTATAAACATGTTTATGCTTATGTTTCTTTTAATTTAACAAATAGACCTTATGTACAAAATAAATACCCTCTTTATTACAACTCAGAATGGATTTTACAATAGGATTATTCAAAACAAACTTTGTCTAGCACTGCAAAACAATTGTGATTTCAGACCTTGGTAATTTGAATATGTGTATACTACATTAAACAGAATTGAGATTGATTTGTCACATTACCTCAGACCAAACCAAATAAGAGACGTTAATCTTAACATTCTGTAGGATTTTTTTCTATTTAAATACTCTGATGTAAAGCATATAATAACGTACTATAAAAGGTGTATACTACTTACCAGTTACACCAACATGCAAGACCTCACCGACTAATAAAATTCCAAACGCTGCTCGACGACCGTATCGATCAGACAAATAACCCACTAATAAAGTGGTAATCAATCCAATTGTTATACGAACTGAGTTTGAAGCCGCTTCAAGAGTTGCAGCTTTTTTCTGAGCCAACTTGAGTTTATGTTTATCCACATCTGATCTGTATTGAAACGCATCGATTGATATAAGTGAAATAGTTTTTAATAGAACCTAATCTTATCATTAGAGCATACTTAAATGTAATACACAGTTGTGCTGATTGAATTACAGTATTAGCAGACAATTGTTGGCAAATTTTCAATCCGAATTACTGTGTTTGTGAATGTACTTTAATGGGGTACAATAAAGAGATAGGTTATTGGGAAATACTAAGGATAATTTGTATGTAACCCGATGGTATCACTTAGGACAATAAGATTGATTAATTTGCATTGAGCGTTTCGACGAGATTAAAAGAATGAATACTTTAGCTTAATGATACTTATCAGAACATGTGTTGTGATTACACTATGTTGTGTTTTATTAGAGGCCCTATATCTGACTCCAGGTAGATCGTATGAATGATTGTTCTTGAAATGTACATGTCACTAATCCTCGTATATAATCATTGACTCAAATTGCATTGGTGAACAACGGAATTAAACAAGTCGAATACAATAATGGGTTTTTGAATATGTACATTTCATACAATCGTTGACCGGGAAGTGAGGTAAAACACAATGACGTGTGATGGAGAAGGAGAGTGAGCCAACTCAATTTGACCAAGCATGAGTCAATATTTATAGCCCCCAAATGCTTCAGTATGGTCGAGAGCAGGGTGAGCCCACCCTCCTTCTCGAAATGCTCTCACATGGCCACGCGTATAAAGCTTCTGCCAGGGAGGTCCTGCTCACTGCCTTCTAGTGGCGTGGGTGTTGTTTACGAAAATGAGAGGACGAAAAGCGAATGTCCGGCGCCTTAACCGGATTCCAAACCAATGGTGCACATGGGCTCTAGTATCCTCAGGAACAAATGGCGTATGAACCAATTCTTGATTACCGGCCACCACGGGACTGCACCTCTTCACGATGCTCCCCTGCCTTGTGGGTCAGACCTTAGGTCAAAGGCTCGACCCACTAAGAAAACCACCTGCTTCGGTCTGGGCACTCGGGCAGTATCACAGCCCACACACAAACAGAATGAAATGACGATACTTGCGGAAAATACTATTCTTACTTCCATTAACAGTCAAACGATTCTTCTTCTTCTTCTTCTTCTTCTTCTTCTTCTTCTTATTATTATTATTATTATTATTATTATTATTATTATTATTATTATTATTATTTAATACGTCACTTATTCACTCTCTTTTATTCCCTTATTTTATTTATCCTTATTTTTCGACTTATACAGCAGCTCACTTATGGTGAAAATTCGGTTCTGTCTAAACGTTCTCGAGTCAGTGACTGGTTGAAAATTAAATGCTACCACCAAATACGAATACTGAAGCAGTTTTTCTGAAACTATTACAAATTCGCTTTCCATTAGTCGCTTCAAAAAGCTTGTTTTATGTGCGTTTATCAGGGGACCTTGTGGTATCTTCGTCTCGTCTTGCTGGCGTTGATGTCGCACTAAGCGCTAGAGCCGAGGCAGCACTAATCGGTTGGATCCCCATTAACAGTCAGTTATGTGCTGTTAGATTACAAAGTTCCATCAAAGTGAGAAGAAATCGGCGTGAGAAACGATGTATTTTATCATCTCCGCCTATGCCCCGACAGATTGCAGCCCGGATGCAATCAAGAATGAATTCTACCACCAGTCAACTGTTCTCCTCCAGAAAGTGCGTTCGACAGATATTGTAGTACTAGTCGGAGATTTGAATGCTCAGGTCAGGCGTCTAGGCACAGAAGAGAATCGTTTAGGTGGCCGATGGGGACTTGTCGGTCAAAAGACAGATAACAAGGACCGTCTACTGCAACTGTGCACAGATCACAACCTGTTTCTGGTGAGCAATAACTTCCGGCACAGTCATCGCCGATGTGCCACCTGGCGTCCTCCCTCTGCATCTCAAGCCTGGACTCAGATTGATCACATCGCGATCAGCTACCGCTGGCGTGGTTGTGTACAAGACTTCCACTTTTTTGGAGTATATATCTGGACTCTGACCATGCCTCGGTCTGCGCCGATCTTACCTTACTTTTCAGTGGCCAACGAAGTGACCGCCACCAAAGGATCGATGTCAACAAGTTGGTTACAACCTCTGTTGCAAATAAGTATCGAACCGAGCTAGCTTCTAGGTTAGCTACCATTCCACCGAAAAGTATGGATAAGCATTGGTTGCAACTTCATGACGCCCTGAAAATGGTGAGTCAAGTCACTTGTGGGTTCGCGAAACGTCCCGCTTATAAGCACTGGGTTTCTGCAGGTTCCTTACAACTCATTGAAGTCCGTCGGTCTACTCCGGGTGACCGTGAGTTTGACCACAAACGAAGGATGTTACGTAATGAAATCGGGCAAAGCTTGCGTAAGGACCGAGAAGCCTGGTGGTCGAAGCGTGCTAATGAGTTGGAAGCAGCAGCTGCATCTGGTAATTACCGGAAGCTCTTCCAACTCATCCGAGCCACTGGCAGCAAGAAGTCTGGTGTGAGCGAAACGATTTGTGAGGATGAAGGGATGCCAATCACTAACATCCATCGACGTCTTGGACGATGGGCAGAATTTTTCGAAGGGCAGTACAACTGGCCTGCTGCTCCGGCAACATCGGTCGGACTGTCCTAACTTCCCTGGCCGGTGACGACTGATCCACCAAGTGAGACGGAAGTCTGCAAGGAACTCCAACTCTTGAAGCGTTACAAATCACCTGGCCCAGATGACTTACCTCCGGCTCTTCTTAAAGACGGTGGTGACTTTCTGACTAAGGAACTGACTGTGTTGTTTACAAAGGTCTGGGAGCTCGAGAGTGTACCAACGTCATGGAATGAGTCGATAGTTGTCCCTATCTTTAAAAAGGGTTCACGTCGTTCCTGCAACAACTATCGGGGGATGAGTCTACTTCCGATTGCGTCTAAGCTATTGGCTTCCGTCATACTTCGTAGGTTGTTCAAAACCCGAGAAAGATTGACTCACGAGGAGCAGGCTGGTTTTCGTTCTGGTCGGGGATGTATTGATCATATCTTCACCCTCCGCCAAATGTTAGAACACCGCCATGCTTATCAAAGGCCAACAATCGTAGTGTTTCTTGACATCAGGGCTGCCTTCGATTCGTTGGATAGGATTGTTCTCTGGGATTGTCTATTGAAGAAGGGTGTGCCTGAGAAGTTTATTAACATCCTAAAAGCCCTATATACAAACACCTCAGGCAGAGTGAGGGCATACAACCTCCTCTCCATTGTTCCATTCGAGCAGTGGGGTTAGGCAGGGTTGCCCGATCTCACCATTCCTCTTCAACTTTGCCATCGATGACATTCTGGAAACAGCTCTGATGGATGTAAGTAATGGTGGTGTGGATCTGTTGCCTGGAGAAGGACTTCTCGACCTTGAGTATGCTGATGATATTGTCTTACTGTGCGATAATGCCCAAGGCATGCAATCCGCACTTAATCAGTTGGCAATCAGTGTCCGTAGGTATGGTATGTGATTTGCACCTTCGAAGTGCAAAGTACTTCTACAAGACTGGCAGGATTCCAATCCTGTACTCACCCTGGATGGTGAGCAGATAGACGTAGTCGAGAAGTTCATGTATCTAGGTAGCTGCATAAGTGCTGGTGGGGGTGTGGGTGATGAGATCAATGCACGTATAGTGAAAGCCAGAGCGGCTTATGCCAATCTGGGCCACCTTTGGCGCCTTCGTGATGTTAGTCTGGCTGTGAAAGGTCAGATCTACGACGCGTCGATGAGAGCAGTTTTGCTCTATGCTTGTGAAACCTGGCCTCTCCGAGTTGAGGATGTTAGACGACTCTCTGTGTTTGATTATCGTTGTCTCCGAAGGACTGCTGACATCCAGTGGCAACACCATGTCAGTAATGCAGAGGTTCGGCATCGTGTGTTCGGGCACAGAGATGATAATCCAATTGGTGTCACCATCTTGAAACACCGACTTCGGTGGCTTGGATATGTTCTACGAATGTCGTCCCAGAGAACTCCACGTCGTGCATTATTTGTCGACTCTGGGACTGGTTGGAAGAAGCGGAGAGGTGGTCAGTGTATGACATGGTGTTGTGGTATGAAAGAAGGCTGCAAAGGGCTGGCTTGTGTTGGTCCTTCACGACTCCCTGGCTGGGTCCGAGAGATGGTGCAACACAGTGGCTAGAGACGTTATCAGATATGGCTCAGAATAGAAGCCGATGGCGATCCTGCTGTAACCTTCTTTTACTTCATAAAAATTGGTTGTATCTTCCTTAACTGAAAGAATTCTTTTGGTCGTACCTTTCCGTTTCCCTCATTATTATTATTATTAATACACTACCTTACACTGATCTGTGGTCTTTAATGTTCTTTTTTTCTCTTATACGCTCCTTACCTTCTTTTTTTTCTTCCCATTGTCAATGTTTTGTGTGGCGCATATATATTTAGTGCCCCCTTGTACCAATATTTATGTGTTCAAATTAATAAATAATAAATAGTCAGACAAAAATAAGTTACCGACAAGTGATGAGTAAGATAAGAAATACATACAAATGCGCTTTGATAAAAAACAGTCGAGGTTGATAAGTGAATAATTAACAAGGTCAAAATGTGATTCAAGAAGAACTAATAAATCAACCTGTTCCTAAGCTAGAATAAACTATCTGGGCCCAGCTCCTACATTTTGACTAAATGGCATTCTTTATGTATAGAAAATAGAAACAGTAATAAGTGTGCAACACAGAATCTAGCTTCATTATGACGCTTGCGACATAGATATACATGAGGAACCTAACAATTCTGCAAGTAACTAACATGTGTGACTCAGAGATACTCTAATACAGCATTTAGTATCAATTTCATTACAGTATTCAAGAATTCACAGTAGCAATAAAGTTTATCACAGTAATTTGTTCTATATTAACTAACAGACAGTGTTGAACTGGTTACAATTTAGAGATTGGTGGTTCAAAGCATCAAACTTCCTGTACATGCTCACGATAATTGTTGTATCTTTCAGTAACTTCGTTACACCTAAAGTATATCTCAACATTATCCAATCGTTAACCAGCCTCAATAAATTCCTAATCATTTCAAGCCTAAATCTCATTACTTGCTAGGTTAGTTAATTGGAACTTCTCAACTCAATGAGTAATTATGAATTGCGTCAACATTAGTCAATAATATGGTGCATTTCTAACAAAATGTCAACTCACATATTTTTATATCGTTGTCTTTCCTTCTTTGTGTAGTAGGGAAGACCTTGTTCAGTGACAGCGCTGAAAATGTAAAAGAAGATTAAGTTGTTATATAATATACCACTCCTTCTAATGATTGTTGAAAATTCTAGTTCATTCAAATTCCATGAATGATGTGTGTCATTCATGTTATTTCATGATATTTCCAACTGGAGTGCATTTAACAAAATATTACGTGAAGAAAATAGGTGTTCCATGGCCGTAAGTTTTGAAATTTATCAGGTGAATTGTCTTAATTGCTGCCCAATCGGGTTTTATTACTGGCTGACAAATATCGGAGCAGAACGCGGGATTATGATACAATTAAATCTCATGCCATGCTTTTCAGTAAAATTGGTAAATTATGAAACAACACTACATACCTAGAAAAACACCGTGTTGATTGGATGACGTAACAAACACGTTACATTGTTTTCTATGCATACCGACTTATGAGATATGACTAAATAATCTAATCGGTTTTCACCAAAATTTAATTGTTTCTGGTTAGACACATAACTTCAGCTACCAGACCAAGTAATAAAGCATCCTAAAGCCAATATAATCTTTATAATGAAGACAAATATTAAATTGGTGAATAACTAATGAGTGAAAGCTGATAAAAAATTGTCATGGTCGTTTATTTGTAATGAAATATTATTGGTAGAATAATTTCTTTCAGAAAACGGTGCTGGCAACTTTAAATCCACTTCAAATCATATAAACTAGCATTAAATAATCATCTAACCTTCTTAAAGAACTGTTGTACTGGTGGATTCTGTTAACTTGATGAGCAAGTTTTCGACTGTTGAAATGAAAAAGAAAGTGATGACCAGTGAATGATCATCAGTGATATGTGTTGTGGCTGACTTATGACTGGCTATGAGATTGCATTACTGACTTAAACCTCCCAACTGGTTTGAAATCAAGGAAAAAATCATTAACCAGAAGAACAGTTTTCTTATGCGATGAAATGACATGATTATATGCAAGATATTACCACAAAATAGCATGATAGAATGTAATAGACGGTTAGATGCTGTTACGTCGTAGGTCACTCGCTCGTCAACTGAATACGATTTGATTGTTAGACTTGATCATAGAATGATATATCAAGTACATTCTAGTACGTGCTAATGAACTATGTGAAAATCTACGTCACTCAATATAGGTGTTGTAATAACAATAACATTCAGAACTATAATAATGATTATACTTACCTATAAAACACATACTGATCAGAGATAAACAGATTTAACTCAACAGCAAGATATAAAGTCACTGTTATGATTACAAGTAGACCAATTACCCTAATTTTCAGTGACTTATGCTTGGAGTCAGTCATGATCACAATTAAACAGTTGCGTGAGTTTGTTAGAATTTGGCTATTGAAATTGTTCTGGTAGTTTTCATATATTCACTTGAATAGGCTTTCCTATTTCATGTGCTTGAGTAAACTACATAAAAATGTTTTTTTAAACAACTTTATCCTAAAGTAGTTCACTGTGTATTCTTTATATTTTGATTAGCAGCTGATGAAGATGGATGTTTTTAAAAACACAATCTTTATTGGCTATGCAAAATGAAATTGAAAACATTGAGTAGTAAATCAAATCAAATAGCCAATCATTTATTCACGTGTGATATGCGTGATCACGTTACATACTCTGAGACATTGACAACATGTTTTATGAATAAACTGAATGAACTCTATTTAGTAGGTCATTTTAACTATGTAGTTACAATCTTATTGCGTAAAACCTGGATATAAATAAGTAGAAAATTAGTTTCTGACATGTTTGGTGATGAGAAGAGCGGAATAGAGATGAAGTGATGACAAGTTATGAAAGCCACCTTTTGGAATATTAGTTCAGTCATTTCATAATCTCTAATTACCAACATAATTGGGTATAGAAGGTTTCTTTATATTCGTCTTTTTCTTCTGTTGTCAACCAAAAACTATTGTCGTTACAGATCCATAGTAAGCGAATAGTATGTTAATTTGCACTCAATGTCCGTTTGTCGTGCATTAGTATTCTCAACATTATAAAAAATGACCTAGTTCATTAAAGTTATTAATCACTTCCGAGACAAATCTCCCTGCATGTTTCACTACAAAAACTTTGGCAGACCAAGTTTACGACACCTGACGCACCAACATTTGTTTGTAAAGAAATTAGAATGATTTATTCTCCCACAATTAGCCATTATCTTGAATACAGCTGAATTTTCAAGGAAAATTCATTCCATAGCACAAGGAATGTGGATGAACATGTAGATTTCTTCAACTTTTAAATATGATAGAATTATACAGTTATCAAAGACATAATGCTCCTGAATAAACTCCCGTTGTCTTCACTCATATTTCAGTGTTAATGATGGAGGTGACATGACAAAATAAACAAACTATTTGTATAAAAGCATCACGAAGTGATTGCTTTCAATAACATAGATTGCATCTCGATGAGATATAGTCTCAATTTGTAAGCGACAATAAAGTATAGTTAGTATTTCAAAGTCATCTATAAGGTAATTTATTAAACAGCAATAAACACATGCTACTTGTGATTTCATAACACATTATAACAAGCCCTAAAATCTCATAGAATCTTTCACAATAGGTTATGTTCCCATCTGGAGATCAACAATGGCTGTATTGCTTTGATTTGTTAGCACATTTTGGAATAATTATTAGTAAAAGCATTATTATGAAGACAGAAAACTTTTGGCTTTTAACAATGCATGGCAACATTATAAACAAAATCATTTCCAAACTTCATGATTCATTGATTAGCAATAAAAAAGTTTATTTTCATTGCATAAAGAAAAAATTATGAAAGGATAGTGAAAAACGGGTATATCTTTTAACCTTAAGATTTATAAATGTACATTATGATATTCGAAAGCATATATAAATTATATAATATGTAAGGAATGAGCAATCGGGAAACGGCTTTGATCACAGATAGTGGAATGAAAAACTTTTATAGAACTAACAGTAAATAGTTGTATCATTGGACTTTGGGTCACCTGAACTGGTTCAAAACCCAAACCACATGAGAAGAAATTCAGATCATTCAAATTTGTGGTGGACACTATATGATATAGATTTTCTATCATCTAATTTTATTGATTGAATCCCTGCTCATTATTGAAACAATTAACCCTATATAGGAAGGATTCCAACATGAATGTTATTTATTTCATTTTAATGCGGTTCATTTGCGTTTTATGATAGTCAACATATACGTATTTGACACCGTCTGTCAATAGATAGAAAATCAAAGGTTATTTCGAGTTCTTTAACCGTTAATCTGAAGTTTAGAATGGAAATGGATACATAGTCAACATTTGTTGTATAGAATACTGTTACATTTGATATAATTCAGTCTGAAAATATCACTTCGCTATCTTTAACTTTATAGCTTAATTATGTCATTCTGATGTAAAGCTTGTAATTCTTCGGTGAGTTATCGAAAAATGACTTTTTCCAGCGAGTTTTTACTTGATTGAGCCCAACAGAGAAATAATATTCCATAACTTCTTCATCTTAACTTATTCTAGATTTACTCGTTTTGGATACTGACTAGTTACTGTGTACATGAGTGTTTTTTTAAACTAATCACTCACTTTTGTGGTGTCTGAATTTTGGTTCAAGAGTGAATCTAGATTAAAATTAATTTAAGATGTATTTCTGTGACACAACTGTTTTCAGATTATCCTGTTTCCATCAATCTCTATCAAAATGTTATTCGTTACTAATAAACCAACTAGATGAATATTTAGTAACTTAACAACGCATTAATTAGAATTCACAATGTAGTGAACGAGAACACAAGTGGTGACTGTATTTAAATACAAAATTACAGAAAGTCTTAGTAAAATCAGATATCCATTCAGTAAATACTTTATTTACAAACTATCAATCAATCGTCTCAGGCTTGATTGTTCCTTCGTTTCTACACCAATCATTCTATGTTCTCGTTCCCTTTTCTTCAATCTTCTTAACCTTCTACCATCAGGCATTTCACTTTCGATTGATCATACATACTATTTATATATGTCGACATCAGTAGAACACACTACAATTAGTCTATAAAATTATCGATTTGTGAATAATTTTATTATGTAAATTTTTCATTATGCGTAATTAAATATGAAAAGGAAAATCGATATCTAAAGTCATTTTGTAAAAATCAATTTGAATTTATTTTAAAAAAATGAAATTAGCAACAAATCATTCATGATGTTAAAATTTTGAATAAACCGCGTAATTTTTATACTCAGGTTGAAATATACATTCAATTATAACAATAGAAATAATAAATTATTATTTTGTCGATTTATATAAAAGGTAACATTAAGGCAGTTACATTATAATTTCATATTTCTTCAAGTAATAGCAGGATATGATGTTAGAAGTAAATATTATTACTACTACCGATGGCAATTATTGTATTAATGAACTTACGTCATAGATTCATTAAATAAAACTACTATTTATAGTGACTCAGTTGATGTGATAAAATTATTGAAATACTTACTTACTTACTTACTTACTTACTTACTTACTTACTTACTTACTTACTTACTTACTTACTTACTTACTTACTTTACTTACTTACTTACTTACTTACTTACTTACTTCTGACTTACTTACTTACTTACTTACTTACCTTACTTACTTACTTACTTACTTACTTACTTACTTACTTACTTACTTACTTACTTACTTACTACTTACTTACTTACTTACTTACTTACTTACTTACTTACTTACTTACTCTACTTACTTACTTACTTACTTACTTACTTACTTACTTACTTACTTACTTACTTACTTACTTACTTACTTACTTACTTACTTACTTACTTACTTACTTACTTACTTACTTACTTACTACTTACTTACTTACTTACTTACTTACTTACTTACTTACTTACTTACTTACTTACTTACTTACTTACTTACTTACTTACTTACTTACTTACTTACTTACTTACTTACTTACTTACTTACTTACTTACTTACTTACTTACTTACTTACCCCTGTTACTCCTCGTGAAGTAGCACAGACCGCTCAACAGCATTCTCCATCCAACCCTGTCCTGGGCAATCCTTTCCAGCTCCTTCCAGTTGTAATTCATCCTTTCCATATCTGATTCTATTTCTCGACGTAATGTATTCTTTGGCCTTCCTTTTTTCTGCTTCCCTTCAGGATTCCAGGTTAGGGCTTGTCTCGTGATGCAGTTTGATGATTTGCGTAATGTATGTCCTATCCATTTCCATCGTCTTTTCCTAATTTCTTCTTCAGCTGGAAACTGGTTTGTTCTTTCCCAGAGAAGGCTGTTGCTGATGGGATCCGGCCAATGGATGTTGAGTATCTTACGTAGACAACCATTTATAAATACTTGTATCTTCTTGATGGTGGTTGCGGTAGTTCTCCAAGTTTCGGCTCCGTACAGTAGGACCGCCTTGATGTTCGTATTGAAGATATTCACCTTGATATAGGTTGAAAGTTGTTTTGAGTTCCGTATGTAAACTATTGAAATGAATGAAGTAGTTTAAATGATCATTTGTCTCGCCAAAACTCTTTAAATCATAATGAGTTCCTTTGTCGGTTAGTTAATGATTAATCAAAATTTTAAAAAAGTAAGGTTATGAAACAATCAATGATTGCTTGTTTTAATTTGTTGTAGAAGCTATTTTTTGAACAGTGAAACTTATGCTAACTAGTAAAGCTTTGTAAGTTCCTGTAGTAGATTATCTTCGAGATAATTCCATAAGCTTCATATATCAAGCGCCACGATAGCTGTTACTGAATAAGTCCCAAAGGCGTATGAATTCAGAAATTAAGAAGAAGCGCTGACTACAGTTCATCAATGAATAGAACAGATGACTTAGCTATATACACACCAAGCAAATTCCTGCACAAAAACTAATGCGCGCGAGCAAGCGAGTGAATACAAAGGAATATTAGAGGTGAAATTAGGAATAGTTGGATCAATTGATAAGATTCAAGAGAATATACATATATACATGAGAAAGACAATGATTCATCGAGTAATTTAAGCAATAACATTTAAGCTAGAGATATATATGGGTAAGTTGTCACATGTGATCAAACATACCTGTTCATTACTTACTTACTTACTTACGGCTGTCACCCCTCGAGGAGAAGCATAGGCCGCCCATCAGCACTCTCCAGCCGACTCTGTCCCAACCGACCCTTTCCAGTTCTGTCCAGTTTCTATTCATCTTTTTCATGTCTGCTTCCATTTTCCAACGTAATAGGTTCTTCGGTCTTCCTCTTTTCCGCTTCTCTTTAGGAGTACAGGTTTGGA